TCTACATTTCAAATTCTGCCCTTCTCCAAGATCCAGCTCAGGGGTCCACCCTACTTCAGGAAGTTTTCCCTCGTCACCCCACACAGCCCCTCCCAAGGAGAGGCAGAGAATAGCTCCTTTGCTCCCAACTGCCAAGACTCTTATGAGAAGTTGTATGTACACGTTTTCTCTCTTCTCTGGGGACGTACGCTCCTGAAGGGCAGGATTCTCCTCGGTATGTGCACAGAGCCAGTCTTGCGGTTAGTAGGTATTGCCTCATTTTGTTGAACAATAGTAAGTTTGGACATCACTTGCCCTAATGATACCAACCAGCTCGGAGGGGGCACTTTGTCCTAGGCCAACTCGGGATATTTAAATCACTATGGTTTTGTGATTTACAGCTTGCCCACCCCCTTTCCTCCTGACAGCTCCTTAAGGAATGTTGGGTCCTTTATCAGAGATGGCAGAGGGGAAGGGGACGTGGGGGCATCAAGAGACAAATAAGTCTTCTGCCAAATAGGACAAGGTTTACCACATTGCTCTGCTGGAACCCTGAAACTTCTCTGCACTAGAGAAAATAATTTTTCCTACCACAGCCCATCTAAGCCAGCTTAGCTTTTCAAGATGGACGTGCCCATACCCAGAGGTCAAGATTAAATTACTTGCCAGCCTTTGAGATGTATGTTTATGCACGAGGTTTCCTACCCATATCCTTAGAGGGAAAAGATAGTGTGGTTAAGGCTAAGCCATCATCCAGTGGGTGCTGAGGGGCTGTAAGGCTATTCCTTGCATGGGCCCAGGACCCATAGAATAGAGGTAGATGGGTTGTCTTTGGACCTCAGAGGGGATTTCTTTAGAAAGGCCACATCGGTGGCTCTAACCAAAGTAAAGGGGCAAGTAGTTGGTATGTTGGTAGAGACTTGGTGAGATGTGGATTTGGCTAAGAAGCTGCTTTTTCTACATTTCCTTCTTTGATTTCTCTTCTTTCTACCCTGTGCCCCCTCCTCCATCCACCCACACTGTGGTTGAGGAGGTTCAGGGAACAAACTGATTGTATCCTAAGATCTCTCTTGAAACAGACCTCTGACTAATAACAATGTCCACACAGATGCCAGCGATTATTTGGTTTGAGTAACTAAAGAACAAGACAAAACAAACAGATCTGGTTGCTAAACTACCAAAAAAAAAAAAAAGAAAAAGAAGAAAAAGCAACAGCAACAAAAACAGGTTTAGCTTTGCAAGTGTTCAAGACTTCAGTTTCAGGGGACATGTTAGGATTTCCTGAGAAAATGATGAAATCCCCACGTGGTGGTGTCAGTTCCAGGTCAGAATGACAGACATGGCAAACTGAAGTCGTGTCCCCACGATGTGAGGGGCTACGGTGGCTTAGCTCAGTCCGTGGACAGGTCCAGCATCCTCAGGGACTCCCAGTGGATACCTAGCCTCTGGCTTTAAATGAAGTCGCCTCCTTGCCTCCTGGGTGGATGGCAGTTCCGCAGGCCCCCCACCGCCATGTTTCCAGGCCTTCTGGCACACTAAGCTTTGTCCCACACCACGGCCTTCCCCCCCGGCGGTGCCGTACCCCTGGAACATCTCTTCGCCAGCGTCCCCTTCACCTGATTCACGACTGCTTGTCCTTCAGCTCTCCCCCTCAGCCTCTCCGCAGAAGACTGTCCTCACCCACCCTCACTCCTCCTCTGTGGCATTTCCTACAACTGTCATTTGACCATTCTTGCATGATTAACACCTATCTTCTCTACGAGACTGGAGATTTCCCCTGAGGCCATGGAGCGATGCTCAGGTGTATCTAGGTGACTTCTGCTGTGCCAGGTGTTAACCCTTTTGCTGTTGGCCCATGAGGAGGGAGTAGGGGTCCCATGGGGATGGCAGCTATTAGCAGCCAGTGTGGAGGTATTCAGTATTATAATAGCCAGTGCACTTGTGTGTGTATCCTCAGCCTCTGGCACAGGGTCTGCTACAGGGTAGGTGCTCAGCAAAGATCGTTGACTTCCCTCTCTGAGGTACCTTCAGGTGAATGATGTGCCCTTTGGAGACAATGCCCATGTCTTTCAAGTCTTCTTCCTCCAGAAGCAGCAGTCGCTTTCCTGTAATGTTGTTTTCCTTAAACAAGCTTGCATATACGCTCATCTCTGCTGAAGAGTCTCCTGAAGGAAGGGATTAGAAGGCAGAACAACATTAGAAGAAATCCTGTCCAGAGCAAAGTTAACTGCATGAATTAGGAAGGTTAAGTTATTCCACTTGCCTTTTCTGACGAGCTGCTGAACCCAAAAATACTGTGAAAGAGAGGACATATATGGTTTTGAAGATTCACACGTGGTCAGTAGCTGACTTCACAGCAAAACACACTTTTCAATAGATTAAAATGTCTGTAATTTTGCACTGTAAATTTCTGACTCAGCCACAAAGGTAAAATGAAAGACATTCTCTTTATTGGTTTTAAAACTTTAAGCTTTAAGTAGGAGATATCCCTCCCTGTGGAAGTCTTGGGACACTTAAGGGAATGTTGGTTTTCCTCCTTATCTGGGAAATTTTTAAAAATCCTTCAAGAAGGTTCTTACTTATAATGATTTTTCTCTTTATGTGCTGGTGGTCCCTGGGGTTGCTGAGAGGTACTGGTTTACCCAGGAATTGTATGAGGAACAGGGGCCACACAGCGGTGGATAGAGGAGTGGGCAGAATATGCCCTGTGTTCTAGGCCTGGTCAGGAAGTAGCTGTGTGGCCCGAGACAGGTTAAAGCTCAGAGCTTCCTGTAGAGAATGAAGTTGGACCCAGTGACCCTCAGTCTCTGAATTTCACTTGGCACGTGTTTACTGGTAGCCTCTCACATAGATGGAAGGGAGGCCAGACCCAGTCCCAGCAATTCTCTGGGGAGCCCTTAACCCTGGGATTTTTATTTACATGGCTTGAAAACCACTCGACCTCAGAGAAAAGACTAAAAATAACTGTTAGAGCTCAGTGCTTTTTAAAAAATTTCTTCTCAAATGAGATGGGCCAACTTTGCAGCTGGGGATAAAGAGATTCTATCCAGGCCCATGAAAAAGGAGACCCTAAGTTCTTTTTCCTTGTTAAGCAGGGCTGGCGGGAACTTTACAATCAAGGAGGCCCAACGAATGGGAAGAAGTGGAGACAAGTGGTGCCAAGTTTTCTTACACCCTATACTATAAGCCAAAGAAGTTAGCTAATGCTGAAAATAGTCTTACTTCACCAGAATACAGTAGGCAGAGAGGAAAATGCCCCAGTCCAGAAACCAGGTTGAGTTAGGTAAACACGCCTTCCCAAGAGTTTCCAGTAGTGCGTTTGTACCCTGTGGGATCCGGTCTGTCCCCTGGGGTAGGGGCTCCCTGCGGCCTGGCATTGCAGCTGTTTTTCATATAATGATAACCTCGAGCATATAAAGTGGACCTGGACAGGCGTAAGCCCCTGAAGTCTCTGATCAAGAATTTTCTGGACCTTTCACTAAAGAAACAGATGCAACAGGCTAAGAAGGATTACCTCTTAGGGTTTCTACCCCAGTGTAAGGTATAGAACTTCCTTTGGACTTAAATAATCCGTCCTCACCCTCTGGCTGCAGAGAATGTCTGGGAGCTGGCGGCCATTCCTCCTTGGGAAGGCCAGAGTAAAGATGAACCTGTCACTTCCAAACAGGCCTGAGGTAGGAAGGAAACCCAGGTCCGCAGAACCCCAGCTAGCACTGCCTTTACCAGATCTTTCTCCACTGTGGTTCAAGTCCATCCCTGGTATTGTAGGAAAATTTAAGATCAGATTTTTTTTTTCAGAAATGTTCATTTGGTATCCTGGACCACTCCTTTAACACTGTCATTGGTATTCATGATAGTATTCTGGAATACCTTTCAGAGCAAATAGGGAGGTGGAATCCTCTTGTAAGATTTGAAGAGATACTTGCTTTGCTCTTGAGGCCTTATTTTAAATCATTACTGCATTAAAAATAGAAAAACAAGGAATTTGTCAACTTCTCCTACTTAGACTTTGCTAAGGCCCAGACCCCTCCGGCTGCATTTGTAACTTGTGGACAAACGTCTGAACCACCAGCCCGGGCCAAACGAGGCGTTAACAGAAGCGGGCTTACCACGTCGTCTTCAGTCCACGAGCCAATCTCAAAGGAGGGCAGCAGCTGCATGGGAAATACGAACGCAGTGAAAAACAAAAGCAGTATCATCATTGTCTTTTTGGTTTATCCCTTGTCTTCCCATTTCAGCTTTCGGCTGCTGCTCTGGCTTGGTTCCTCCTACAGGTGAGGTTCCTGACCTTATGGGGAATTTCTCAGTGCTCCAAGCATTGTGCCCACAGAAGCCAACCATGGGCACCAGCTTCTCTGTAACAATTCCTTGCACTTGGTAAGCTGTGGCAGGGGGACTGTAGATCTTGATACTGTCCTCTCTTGGTACCTGGCACACGCACCTCCCTCAATGGGGCTTGGCAGTCAAGGAGTTTCTGACGTTTGCCAGAAACCAGAGCCTCCCTTGGAAGTCCCAGTCAACATGAAGATCACATGATTATTAAAGAAAATTCCAAAGCAACCCTTTGGTAATCAGATGACTTACATGCTTCTTCTTACAGGAGAATTTCTAAGTGTTTAACCAAATGACTCATTTGCATTAACCAAGTATTAGGACCCATGGATGAAAGACAAGTTAGATGAGACTCTGTCCCAAGAAACAGGTTGCAGAGTCTGCTATAATGGAAACTCAACTAACCTATCAGGTGTAGACACGAAAGGTGCCTTTGCAAAAGAACGTTGGCCTGCATCATTTTCAAAGCCAGAGAGCTACTCGTTTCAGTATATGCCCACGGCCATAGACTCAATGAGACATGCCTACATAATCTGAAAAAAATTGGTGTGTCCTGTGTCTTGAATTAAAGTTTGCCATAGCCATTAGCTTTAACTAACTTATCTTGCCAGAATGGTTGGATTGCTCATAAGATAACATGGCAAAGCGTCTTTCAACCTTTGTTACAGAGATTTTTTTCTGTGAATGAGTTGAAAAAAGTTGAATTTGGTTGCTTTTAATATTACTCTAAAAATCAGAGGGTAGGTGAGTTAATCCTTCTAATCTGCAAATATTTTGAACTCACATGCTTAAATCCCTGCTAGGAAAAGTATGCCCCTCCCTTCAAGCAGCTTTTAATTTAATTGGGGGTGAAATAGATATGGATTATAGATGGAGGAGTTCAAGGCTACCTTCACGCTGGTTTCCTCAGTGCCTGGCGAACAATCCTTGGTAAGTTTTTGTTGAACCATGTTGAATGAACGCAACTGCAAGGTACATTTACTAAAATGCTCAGTTCTCTGGGTTTAGCATGGAAAAGCGAGGGTTTCATAGACTAAGATGGGGGAACAGAAGGCATGGTGGTTTGAGCTGGGTACTATAGGGCAAGAAATGGAGAAGTGATTCTGGGTGAGGAGAAGCAAGAAGGCCAAACACTGGCAGTGGGAGGAGGGAGAGGAGGGAAGGAGGGCATGTTTGCCTTACTGGAGCACTGGATGCAGCGTGCGCATGTTCGGAGGATAAAGGGGAAATGCTTAACAGCTTTGCTTAAAATGCTTAAATTCTCTCTGGCAACAGTTAAAATCTCTAGGGAGCCAAGCAGATTTAAAAACAAAAAACAAAAAACAAAAAAACCCCTGCAAGTTACACTACATTTGGATGTGTAGAGTTTTAATATTATGGCTAAGTTGCAAGGGTATAAATCACTGCTCTTCTGTATGTACCCATGTGCCCTAGTTCCCTCAGGACTGCCCCTCTCCTCCTCTGAAATACTTGACATGTGTCAGAATCGTCACATGCACTCACCTGCTTCAATGATGCAGAAAGGAAAATGACTTGAAGAAAATCTAAAACTGAATTTGATCACAGAAGGTACATGACAAGTTTTATGTCTTCACAGGGCAGCTGAATTCAGCTGCAGAAACGTGTCATTCCCTTTTCCCATCACAGAAACCAATGTGAAATAAGGAGCATTTTGAAAAGTTCAAGGAACAATAGACTGAGTTACAGAAATATTTCCCTGCATTAAGGCTAGTCTCTATAGGGAGTGGGGGGATTGTAGTGTTTTGGTTTGTATATAATTCCCAAATGGTGTGCTAAACAAAATAGAGAAATAAGTATCTCTTGAATAAAAGTTGTAAACGTGACAACTAATCAAAACCAACATATATGGTTTTAGGGTCCAAAGGAGAGGGGAAGAGTTCTCGAGCCTTCCGAGGGTGGCTCAGCAAGATTCTGATGCCGGGAGAAAGGCATAGATTCAGCTTGCTAATGCCTCCGGCAGAATTCTTGCTCCAGGCTTGCAGAGATCAGTGAGAGGGAGGCTGGAGCCAGGCACTGCTTCAAGACGGTTTGAATTTGGCAAGACGGAGGTAAGAGTTAATGATCTCCAACCACATCGTGGTTTACCATTTCCTTTGTGCTTTCTGTACCTTCTTAGCATGTCAGTGTATCTGCTGTAGGGTGAGAGCTCTAAGCCTTTCGTTCTTTGGGGATTAAAAACAAAAGTCAACTTGTGACTGTCCCATCACTTTGCAAATTCGTTATTTATACCCAACTGATGTTGGGAGAGAAAAGCTCACATTCATGTGGAGGCGTGTGACAGTGATTCCTTCCAAGGATGTTGAGAATCCAATCTAACAAAGATCTAATATACACAGCAACACATTACAAAGGGATTTACTGTCAAAACGTTTATTGCAAAATGGAGTCTTAAAACAAAGGAAAGCAAAGAAAAGTTCACATCAAAATGAAATGTATGACACCAACTTGGATTTCTGAATACATTGTGGACTCTGTGCTGGAATATCAAATTCCAACTACGAAATCGATAATGAGTAGTCTTACCACACACAAGTGAAATGTAATCTTCCATAAAACATTATACAAGATATATGGCATAGTATTTGCTCAGAATAACACTGTAATAGAATAGTTGAGGAAAAGGTTTTGTTAAAAAAATAAAGTGATAATGCCATCCTCTATTCAAAGCGCACACTCAAAGAATATAAATATTTCCTATTATTTAGTACAGAATTCTTTAAAACAGTGCAAAAGCAGTATGTGCAGTGTATTGTATCTCACATTAAAAGATAAGCTAGTCTGCACATTATATAAAATAATTAATGTAGGTGCTGAAAATGCTAGTTGTAAAGTCAGTAATCACATGCCTGAAAGCTCCTCACAGGCCACAGAATGCAACTCAGTTGCAGCCCGAGGCAACGTCGCTAGCCCTTCAGGTTCCCTGGTACACACTCCTTTTCCATCACAGAAATGCTACCGCTTGCAGGCTATGCCACAACCCAAAGAACAGAACAGATTCTTCTCTCTGGCAATGCTTAAAGTCAGAACAGGAAAGCAGTCTGACTCCAAAGCAGCAAAAGGTGCCTGATTATAGAAAAATGATGCTCTATCATAAACGTGGTGTGGTGAGACACTGCCTGTTCTAACAGGACCACAGCGAGTCTAGTGTTACCAAAAACCGAAAAGGGTATCAATATTTAACTCAGAGTAGCTTTTAAAATGATCTTCTATGAAATGCTCAGCACGCTGAAAAGTAAAGTTATGTACACATCACAGTGCTATGAGAAGTCCTTCTGGCTCTCTCCCACATCTTACCTCTGATTCCTTGATTTTAATGGGGATCCATTCTGAATACCTCAGCTGTTGCTTAAGTCTAACAAATGTGCTGCATGTTAAAAATCACTGGCTGCACGCCGGCCCTCAACATTTCCAGACCATCCAAAACAAGTGTGCTCTGTGCCTTCAACCACTTCCCCTTGGTTATGAAATGTAGAATATTAAAATATGACTTTACTTCAACAGAAAGTCCTTTTAAATTAACCTCCCTCGGTGATGGGTTTCTTTTTTATTTTGGAATTAGTGTCATAGGAGAGTGACCCCCTCCCCCAAATCCATTTTGCTATTTTATAAAGTTTCCACCAGAATTTTTCAGGGGAAAGAACCCATTTTTCCACAAGTGGGGATTTAAGATAAATGTCACCAACCTATAAAATTCATATTGTATAGTAGTTGTCATTTTGAAACTGCATCTTTTGACTTGAGCAAGTTTGTTTAGGTGGGAAATGAGATGTAGAACTCAAACTGCCAGGTTTTGCAAGTTTCTCAGTGGGGGGAGGGACAATGCTGTTGGTATTGTGGATGGAGTTCTTTACTGGGTGGGGCTGCCCCTAGCGCTGGGCACTCCACACCACCCCCAGTCCCTGTGACAACCCAAACTCTGCCCCAGCACTCGCAAACACCATTAGGGGCCCCAGATGAAAGTGTAAGATCTGTATGATCGACTTTCTGAATACAGAAAAAAAGATGAAAAAGAGTAGTTACATTTTCAGTTGTATGGCTCTGACAATTATTACTACAGAGTTTATCATTTTGAATCTTTAAATTTCTTAGTGTTTAATTACTCTCTTTATAAATGTACATTCTTGTAAGTCAAGTAACTGGAAATACATCCAACATCAATAATTTGCCATTTCAGGGGCGCCTGGGTGGCTCAGATGGTTAAGCGTCTGCCTTCGGCTCAGGTCACGATCCCAGGGTCCTGGGATCGAGCCCCACATCGGGCTCCCTGCTCAGCGGGGAGTCTGCTTCTCCCTCTCTCTCTCTGCTGCTCCCCTTGCTGTGCTCTCCCTCTGTCTTACAAATAAATAGATGAAATGTTTAAAAGATAATAATAATTTGCCATTTCAAATACTGGTCTGAAAAGTGAATTAGAAGCTGCACAATTAACATCATCTTCAGAAATTCTATGTAATAAACAGTTCTTTTAAAAAGTAATAAAACTAGGGCGCCTGGGTGGCTCAGTCGGTTAAGCGACTGCCTTCAGCTCAGGTCATGATCCTGGAGTCCTGGGATCGAGTCCCGCATCGGGCTCCCTGCTCGGCGGGGAGTCTGCTTCTCCCTCTGACCCTCTTCCCTCTCGTGCTCGCTATCTCTCATTCTCTCTCTCTCTCAAATAAATAAATAAAATCTTAAAAAAAAAGTAATAAAACTAATAGAGTCTAAAAGTCTTCTACATAATCTTCACGGGAGTGAGAACCCTTTAAAATTCTGTCTATATGATTCAGATTTTTAGGGATATTCGAAACCGTAGAAAGACACTGATTTGGAACAGAGTAAAATAATGCTGTGTGGCAATTAGAATACAATGCCAGGTGGAAAACAATTTCACATCTATCATGGAAGCTTTCAATTCTGCTGTATCCTAAATCCCTGAGGTTCTTCACGGTAGAGTATTGAGCTACAACCATCTCTGGAATACTGGTGAGGAAAATGGCAGCACTTGAGATCGGGGAGATCTTACCTAATTAATGGTAAACCTTGGTCTGAGAAGAGAGAGTCCTATTACCTTTTACGTTTGGCCCTAATTGGCTCCTTTTATTAATGCACCAAAATTTTATGTGTAATTACAATAGGTTTATATGTAAATGAAGAAAAATGTCAGTTTCATTCTGTTCCTATGTTCTAATTTTGCTGATGATTCTTATATGAGAGACAGGGTTTACTTTCTTAGGTAACGTGCACAGATCCCAACATCAGCCCAGAAGTCCCCTGTCAGGGGGGCCTTCCCTGCCCGGTGTAAACTCCACCCCCCCCCCCCGCGTGTGTTGTGTGTGATCCTCTTTCCTCGGCTCCCCCTCTCAGCGTGCACCTGTCACACGTTTACATAACATAAAGCATTTGTTTTGTTGATTGTCAGGCTCTCTGCTCGCTGGCATGGATGCTCCATGGATTCCCCTCTAGCTGGTCCCTAGAACAGTACCTGCCACAGAGAGAGGGCTCAATGAATATCTGTGGAACGAATAACTATCTTTACCCAGAAAGACGTGCAAGAGGCTTTTAAACTGCTTCCTCTTTGGCTCTCTCCTTCAGGGTGCTAGACCACAGTGACCTGGACATGCCGCAAAGTCAAGAGTTGAAAACCATCTCTCTGCTGCACTCCCAGATGTTCTCCTTGAGGGGCTCAGCCTGAGGGAGGGAGCACATCTCTGCTGAGCACAGACAGACAGGATGCCTGTATGTGTCCGTGCCTGGGTGCCGCCAGGACTAGCTTGCGGTGAGCACGTATCTGTGTATGTTTGCATGGACAGAAGGTGTACCCCATTGGCTACTAGGGAACCCATCTTCTAGGGAAAAGGTCTACCTGTTCCTTCTGTTTTTACTTAGTCTGTGCATGGAGGCAGGGCCTGCAAACGCCTCAGGTACATAGGCTTCAAAGAGCAACGGATTAAATTTGTTTATATAGTTTATATTCTAAGAATGTTCTCTTATATCTATCCTGAAAGCTATTCACTTTAGCTTCCATCTCCTACTACTCAACAAACATGACTTGAAATTGACAGTTTAGTTTTCCAGGTTACTGTAACTATTTATTTTTTTAGTATCTTTTCACTGGCTAAAATTAACTGACCACTTACCATGGGCCTGGTACTGTGTTAAACGCTTTACATGTATTATTTCATTTCATGCTTACAACAGTCCTTTCAAGTGGGTCCTGTTCTTATTCCCATGTCAAAAATGAGCAGGCACACACACAGAGGTTAAGTCATTTTTAACAGATTACACAGCAGTTCTGAATCCTAATTTGACTCCGGATTCTTCTCTTTATCTCACTGTGGTATATAGACTGTTCTACATTTCACACCCAGAACATTTTAATAGTTATTTTTCTCCAAATAAAGCTGGCACAGCGTACTGATCATTTTGTGATATTTTTCAGCTGTTAATAGGGATTAGAAGCATGTCATGTTTCAAATTTCAAGAGGCTTTTTATGATTGAATATAGTTGGAAATAGTATTAGATAATATCTATGATGATATCCTTTCTTAAATTTCCCATAAAAAGAACCACCAGAAGTATTTTAGTTTAATCATCAAATGAATGGCACTTCTTTCCAATACAGGGTGAAAAAAAGTTTTTGTGCCTTTGCCTTTCTGTGTGTGTGTGTGTGTGTGTGTGTGTGTGTGTGTGCGCATGCGTGTACGTGTTGTGTGTGTGTGTGTGTATGCGTACATATATATGACTACAAATGTTTTGTAGTTTTTTTTTATCAGTGTTTTACAGTTTAAACAAGCTTTGACAAATATAACATTCTGAGAATATTTCTCTGGTGAACTAGGTTGTTGGAGCAACACCTACATTTACTTCCGTTTAACACTGGCATGGCTGAGTCAGGGTTAAAAGAAAAAAAAAAAAACTCTGGAAGGCTGGATTTGATCTAAAAAGGACCCTTCATCTGGTACTTCTGTCTCAGTAAGTTTAACTTATCTGTGCTATTCCTTTCATAATCTTTTAGTTCCCTCTTTAAAACCTTTACACATATATCTAGAACCCAGAATGCTCCTGCCCCTCTGGAAAACAAACACGTGCACGCCACACTGGGGGTGCCTAGCGGGTCTGTGTCAGCACTTGGTATCAGCCTGCACGTAGCCCTTTAAGACCATCTCTCTCTCCTTTTATAAACTAAGCCTTAGATGAGTGTGTTGTTCGGAAGCTTCCAGGACTAGCACTGGTATGAAAGCCTACAACATCTGCTGTTGGTTTCAAATTAGAGCATTTCTTCTCTCAATGTACTATTGAGAACATCTCTCAGGTTTTATTGTGAGTAGTTGTGCCATTAAGGATCGAAAATTCTTGGCATTTCGGTATTTCGGAAGAAGCATTTGTTATAGCCTTCTTTCATCTCAATTTTTTTATTGTTAGATTTTGTAGTCACTGTCAATTATTTCTGACAGAGCAGTGTATTACCATAAGAAAAAAAATGTAGCGTGTTACAGGAAAATCAGTGTCAAAGAAGAATTAGAGGAGGTAAGAGTGCTTTTTCAAAATGTAAGTCTTCTTGAGCAATTAAATAAATGAAATCAAATCAAATACAAACGTTAAAGTATTTGTTTAAAAAAAAAAAAAAAGCCAGAATGTAATTAGTTAAAACTACTATATTGTAATAGAATCACAAATTTCTATAATCAGGCACCACATCTGCTGACTCATTAAATATACCTTTCTGGCTTAATTCCCCCCGCCCCCCATTTTTCTGTAAGCAGAAAAAAAAAAGTAAAATCATTCAAGAAATGACTGTCATAGAAATGTGATTGGCCTACAAACTCAGTGCTTAGTTTTCTACTTCCTTACTGGTTTTTGTACAGACTGAGAGAGCAAGTTTCTTTCATTTTTCCAAACATTTTCAATTTTTATTACTTTGCTTTCTGGTTTCATTCACTATTATTATCCATGTCATTATCCTCCTCAGCACCGTCATCATCATCATCATCGTCACCTTCTGACAAGTCAAAATCACTGAACCCCAGGGCCATGTTGACCTTCTTCCCCCTTCTCTTAGATGTGGTTTTGGAAGAATTCTGCTTGGCTTGCATGTTTATCTGCATCCCAGAATGCAGCACAGCTCCTGCTTTGTTCATTGAGAAGATATCCCCAAAGCCCATCAGCATCATGGCCTGCAGACTCTGGTTCATGCCATGGCCCTCCCCGTTACTTGCTGCTGTGATCTGACATGACATCTCTGCACTGTTTGACTCCTCTGTCTTAGATTCAAAGTAAGACTCCTCAGACATTCTTGCAGCAAGAGGCAAGAGAAGCTATCATGAGGAAAGAAAGGACAGAAGTAAAAAGAGAAATTAGGACCAATTTAAATAAGGAAACAGATACCACAAAATTAGTGGGTGCTGCACCGAAGGTAAATGATTAGTGAAACAAATGAATGTAGGGAATTATGTGAGAATTTATTTAATGGCAGGTTTGGCTCCAGCATATTTGCCATAATTTATAAATGACAGAGTAAATCACAACCAAAAGTTTGCAAAGCATCATGGCAGGCCAAATTTCAAATGGGAAGGAAGTTGCAAGTTTTAAGCCCTCATTTCACTTAAAATAGTTTTGAGGATTGCACTTAATTTTTCCCAATTTCACTTTCACAGAAACATTTAGCTAACTATTAAATTAAAAAAGAAATTAAGTCGAGATTAAATCTCAAGTAAAAAATCAAGAAATGTTGTACCAAAGAATAAAGCTTAGAGGAAGCGTGAAAACAGTTCAGCAGTAAATACCCTTCTACGGAAATCTGGGCCATTAATCTCCTTTTCCTCTAGGTTACTATTTGACGCTAAACTAAAAATGAGTCTAGAATTCACTGGTTTCCATTTATTATTTATTACAGCCAGATGTAATATTAGTTATTCAACTTATGACATAATTCACATGTAAACAAACTCTACATCTGTCTCTAATACTTAGGTTATAAACAAGTATGTAAATACAGATGACAACTGGGAGGAGAGGAAATTAGTATTAATTTAGACTGTTACCTTGTGCTCTATTCTCTAAGTGTCCTTCTTTTAGCAAAATTTGTTTACTAGGAATTCCCCCTCTCACCGTGGATACTGACATCTATTTTCTACCTTATGTAATTATTTTGAACAGCTAACCTATTCCCATAAGTACTGATCATATTCATTTCAGAGGTAGAATTGTCAGGATCTAAAAAGTGTTCCTGCTTCTTCTTTTGAGGAATAAGCAAACAGGCTTATATTTTTGGTATTGCTTAAATATTGGTAAATTTATGATAAACAATATACAAGTAACATATGGAATGACCTTTACATCCTGGGTGTAAAGATACATTTTAAGGCCGATTTCCTAATTTTTAAATTGGAGTTTTGGGGTTTGTTTTAAGTTTTTTGTTCGTTTGTTTTGTTTTTTGTTTTTTTTTCAAGTAATCTCTACAACCTATGTGGGGCTTGAACTCATGACGCCAAGAGATCAAGCGTCGCATGTTCCTCCAACTGAGCCAACAAGGCACCCCCGGAGTCACAAGTTTTTTAAAAACTATCTTACTCTATTAGGAAAAGATCTCCAGAGTTGTTAGCTCAATAACAACTTCAGAAGCTTCAGCTAAAAAGTACCAGTTATATGGAAGAAAAAAAATTGCTTTAGCTCCTTTAACATTGGAAACAGGATATTACTTCCCTTGCAGTCAAACTTCCCAGCTTTTCAGATTTGTTTTCAAATGTTAGATTCTCTTAGGGAGCGCTTTGTTGCTGATTTATTTCATTATTTCATGGGTCCTTCCTCACATTATGTTAAGTTCTCAACAGATGTCTCTCAAATAAGTTTTTATTTTGAAAAGAAAATTTTTACATAAAGCTACAACAATAATAGAAAAATAAACATTGACCATATTTATGTATGGAGAATTCATCTTCCCAGATACCTTCAGCTAATGTTTTAATTTCAGGAAAGATAATAGTATCCTTCCTAGAAATAAATCCAATAATTCCATCTTTTATGAAGTTACATAAATGTTAAACTTTTATAATTAAGATGAGGCTACACACAAATGGAAAGCCTAAGCCTCCAGCTACTTCCTTTTACAAAGGTTTATTTTATCTTTCTCTCAGAAACCTCATTTAAAGTCAACTAGAAACTGATGTAAGGATAAAAGAAAATACCTACTTAGAAAATACCTGAGCACAAACTTTCTTTCCTTCAGAAATACCAGCTCTAAGCAGAAGAGACATTAAAAGCAAGTACTGTAAGAAAGAAAACTTAGCCCTCATAGGTAAAAAAAAAAAAAAAAGAAAGAAAGAAAAGAAAATCTCTGAGACCATGCTTCATGCTGTCCATTGTTAGATGGTAGCCTTCAGAGCAGGCCCTTTACAGAAAGTTTTCTGGAGTTAAAACACAAGCATATAACCTACTGAGCACTCCTACGGTTTCATTATTTATTACACAACAATGTTACTAATAGCAATAATGTGTGCAAGGCAGCCCAGGATTTCTTAGCAAAACTAATGCCAATAAACCAAAGAAAGATTCTAAGGCATACTGTAACAGGTAGTTTAAAGTTTTTTCTTACAGTGCTACATTTAGAAGGAGTCAAGCCATGCAGTGCTTTATAGCTTAAGATTTCAATGTACTTAAAAAAAACAAAACAAAAAACACCTCTCAGCCTTCAGAAGACAGCCATATTTCTGCCTCTCCTCAGCTCTGGGAGAAGCAGTGCTCCTTGCAGACCCTTAGGGTAATGCTTCTGAGTCTGCTGGTTGGTACCAATTTAACCAGAACAGGAGACTTCCCTCGACTTCCTTCTTGAGAGGCAAGTTAAATTCACTGAACTTATAAAATGTGGCACCTTTTAATGTCCCACGGAAGTCTTACGTATAGCAATTCAGTTCTTACTTTGGAAATCCCTGCACAGCCAAAGTCATTTCGGAAAAAGTTAAATCTGATAATAAACATTTAACTTCACTATATTTCCCTTTTCTGGATATCAGGTTGCTTCTCCACATGAATTGGAAAAGGAGGCAAACTCTTTTATTCTTTAGACACTGGAAAAATACTTTGCAACTGGGCACTGGCTGCTTGATGAAGATTAAGGCTTTTAAAAATAGGAAAGCTTTTTGAAGATTACAGTAAAGTGAAGGGCATTTAAGTATTTTTTGGATATAACTGCCACAGCAACTATCAAAAATGAATTTAAGATACATAACAAGATTACCTCTAATTTTACCATTACTTGTGATTTTAAAGTGGACAAACATTACCCATTAAGAACCCTGGAAAAGCCAATGATAAACTGAATTCCTGAAATGATAAATCATTCAAAATAGGGAAGAATCCTAAAATTTGATTAGACTTTAGTATATCATGGCAAGATATAGGCGCAAGCTAAATATGTAACTAGTGAAATCCTTAAAAAGAATTTTTATTTTCCTCAAACAGAAGACTTGGAAGAAAACCAAGGTATTTCCTAAGTGTAGTAAATACTGGAGGCTTGTCCCAAGGGAAGTCTTTTTCCAATCTCTTGCTGCAATGATTATAACACTAAATCGAGTGAGGAATATTAATGCTTGTCATTTATATGTCACTAAGTTTGCTTTCTTTTAGGAGGAAAACTTGGTTAAGTTCTGTCACATCAAGACTCTAGCTAGCTGCCGCGGCGTTACGCTTATTAATTACTGATGGGCTCCATGGAGTTAATCAGCCTTTAGGCACATGTTCTGGGGATCTAACAGATGGTATGAAAATACACTGCATTTTATTTTTGTAATTCTAATATACAAACACACTGATAATAACAGTTCTTAGAGAAAGAGCCAGAAATAGGCTAAGCTTTTCTTTTAAATTTCTGGCATTTTGTTAATTGAAATTAGATCTGCGTGTTACTTGAGTGTCAACGCAGCCCCTTTCCCATGCAGGCAGAAGGCAGCAAGTGAGGTGGTGGCAATGTAGGGGGAGGGGAGGGCTGCCATGCTGCCCCGCTCGGCTACATCTTCTAAGTGGGGGGCTGAGCCACCCTGGTGGGAGCACTCACCGGGGTGTTGGACTGCTCCGTCAGCTTTTGCTCCCACATCTTCAGACGTCTTTCCCTTTCTTTGAGTTCCTGCTCTTTACAGCTGAGGTCCCGTTCGAGTTTCTTCAGCCTCTCAAGAGTTGCCTCGATTTCGCACCTGCACAGGGATGACTGGTTTAAGTCTTAGCGTTGCTCAAGAATTAGTAAATGCTTAGTGGTTCATCGGAATGCTTAAGCAGTGTAAAAGGCTAACATCTGCGCTTTTATTTTTCACCAGTTTTATTGAGATATGATGGACCTACATCACTGCGGAAGTTTAAGGTGTACAGCGTACTAATTTGAGTTACGCACACTGTGAGATGATGACCACTATAAATTTCGTTAGCATCTATCATCTCATACAGAGAAAGCAAAAAAAGAAAAAAAATTTTTCTTGTGATGAGAATTCTAAGACTGACTCTCTAAACAACTTTCACATATATAATACGTTAGACTATAGTCACCATGCTATACGTTACATTTCTTGGACTTGTGTATCTTGTACCTAGAAGTTTATGCCTTTTGACCACCTTCCTCCTATATGCCCTCCCCCCCTACCTCTCCTCTGGTAACCGTAAATCTGATCCTTTTTCTCTGTGAGGTTGGGAAAACTTGTGCTTCTAAACCAAACAGTAAACTATCAAAGAAGAAAATCTGTCATATCCTGCAAAATCAACAGGTAGTTTCTAGTTTAGGAAAAGAAGTTCAAAATACTTCTTTAAAATCACTTCTTTAATGAAGCATTGAAGACCCACTGGGGTAGAGCCTGAGCTATGGAGCTGCATCCTGGTTTAGCTATTTAGTGAATGCTGACATTCAAGTAGCCCTTTACAGTTTAGAAAGCACTGTTACACAGTATCTCATCTTACTCTTGTAACAGCCCCCAGAAACAGATACTAATCCCATACAGATGGGGAAAATGATATTCAGGTTAGGTGATCCACGCCACATCGCCAGTAAACTCATGTTCGCTTATTCCCTAGCTGGGTGCCTCAGTCAACTGATTAACTGACCCAGTTTCCTCAGCTCTAGGGGGTGATGATCATCTTACATCAGGGTCCCCCCCTTGCTTGATCCTAATAACTACTTGGGCAGCTTGTTAACAAATATACAATAAAACACGGATTCCCAGGACCCTTCTTTAGGGCTCATGATTCAGTAGGGCTGGGGTGGGCCTTAGGAATTTCCATTATTTAATAAAAGACCCAGGTGACTTTTATAATCAGGCAAGTGTGGGCCAGATGAACTCTAAGATTCTTTTTGAAGTCTAATCATTTTTTTTTTGGAAGTTCCCTCCTTAGTCTCAATAGGCCAACCAAGCTCACCCCTTGGAAATTGTCCAGTTCTAGGAGCCTGTCCTTTGTAGAAAGTGAATTGTTGACTTCGCTCAACACAAGCTGTCTTCTTCCTTCAAGGCTGTCACAGTAAGTCTCAGTTACACTCTGAGAGCTGGAAGTGGCTTCCCTTGGGTTTCTTAAAGGCCTGGAAGCAGCTGATGGCTGGAGGTTAACTGCGTGCTGCTTCCGGGTGCCACTGAGCCAGACCTGCTGTACCCATGGCATGAGGCTGGCTGGGACCCTGACTATGGAAGGTACTGGCCCAGACCTAAGTTAATGGGTGTATGTAACCCAAATCTGCCTTTTTAGCTCCAGGGAAAATTAGAATACATGGCCATCTTATTCCAGTGCCCTTGTGGATGAGAACTAAATGAAAACAAAAATGCTGTGGGCATTAACTGGCAGCATCCAAGACAGGGAGCAGCTACTGAGGGGGGTCTGGATCTCGGCCCGGCACTTTGCTTCCCTGGCTGTCTGAAAGGTACACCTCGGAGCCAGGGAGGTAGCAAGTGAGTGTAAAAGCATCTGCTGTCAGCGCTCCAGCCCTTTTCCTGGTGCCATTTGAAAATAATAGAACGATAGAGTCACACTACATACCCTAAAGAAAGGCAGTAAGTCAGCAATCTTTCAGAATCATGACTGTCATAAAATCCAGATCGTGTATTTCTGGGTGTTTCTGACAAGAGTATTGTGCCCATTCAGAGATGAGTTTGTGTTTACTTTCCAAATGGAGGACTGAGGGGGTAAAAATCACTGGAAAACCTTAGGTGAAACTTTTGTAATGAAGGAAGGAAGGACCAGCCACCCTGGGAAACGAAGGGGGTCAGCGGGTGATGGAAGGAGGCAGCAGAGCCCGGCACGCTCTGTGGCAGACGGCCGGGGCCTGGGGCTGCGGTGTGCTCGGTGCTTCTGCCCCGCCACCTGCACCCCTGCCAGAGAGACGGAGCATGCCCGGACTCTGTTTGGTCAGGGTACACGGCCAGCACATTCAAGTTCCCTCGTAATTTAAGCCAGGTTTCAGCTCTGGGAGCCGACTGTGATTTGGAGCCCTTCTGGAAAACAGATCAACAGTTAAGTAAGCTGAAAGATGGGACACAGAAAACCAAACACTGAGTAAAATGTGCTTCCTCAATCCATCTCCTCAGGCTCAGCACTTCCAGCTCTGCTCCGCCGGCGCCCCGGGTCTGCAGGGAGTGCTGGATGCAACGCAGACAGCTGCCCCCTTCGCTGTTCCCTGTGTTGCCCATGCATTGTTTTGCATCAGAAGCATCTGTTGATGTACCTATATCACCTTCCTGTTCGATAAATATGAGTGTTTTAACAAAGTGTTTTAGTTGATGAAAATTACGGTTTTTTTCCTTAACCCAAATCCAACTAAGGTTGACTTCCCCTAGTATCAATTCTCCATATGCCAAAAACAGAGTGAACTGGAATTCTCTTTTTAAGGCCAAACTGTAAAAACAGCCATATTATACATGATAAATAGGTAATATGTGTAGTAATGTTATATATTAAATGATTGGTGCTAATATCCAAATTGCAAAGATTACATTTTTTGATCTGTTTTTTGTTTTTAATAAGGCATGCCACAGCGAGAGTATTCTGATCACCAAGGAGGAATACAACCAGCAAAGTATTCTGCCAAGAGGCCCAGGTCCGAACATGCCATCCCAGCACCACAAAGCTTGCTCAGTGCGGATTAGCACAGGTCTGGAGACAGTCACATGGGGCAATGAAAATTGCAAACATGACCAACAGGGTGACACATTTCCTGTTCTTAATACTCACTGCTATTATTGCTAATAAGTCAATAAAAGGAGAGACAAGCTAAAGATATGATGAACAAGGAAATGCCTGACAGATTTCTTTCCTATCATCTAATAGGTCAAAGGAAAAAAACATAGTTTATGTGGTTTTTAATAACCTAGTTTTAAAAACAATTTTAAGATTCATCATTTAATTCTCTCAAACAGGATGTTTCATTGGGTCTATGTGTAAGGAAGCTCTACCAGAAAACAAGCATTTGCCAGAAATACCAGATTTCCTACACATGCTTTTGACCCTAGTCACGTGGTTTCAGACACCAGACAAAGGGGAACAGTCTGAATGTGTTATTCTTAGAAATATCCAGATGATCTGACAAAGCATTTAATTCTTTCTGGTATGTGGCATAGACGGGGATAGTTGTTTTGTCTTAATCATAACCTAAAATAATCATGCTCTGTAGTATTTCTCTTTGCGCAAAGGAATGAAGTCAAGTGAACTCTGCGTGCTAATGAGTGGAAGATTTGGCACTGGCCATGGGGGTCCAGGAACAGCACCGCATAGACTGTGTGCCCCGGCAGGCCTGTGGGACCAGACCGCGTGGGTTCTAGCACTGGCTCTGTCTTACACGGTGTGATCTGGGACAGGTGACCCAACCTGTCCAGGCCTGAGATTTTACATCTGTGATAAAAGTTAGGATGGCCATGTGGATTAAAACAAGATGATCCAGATAAAGTACAAGCGTCTGGTAAGAATATAATGAATGAGAGCTGTGTGTACTGACTCTAATTAACATTATCATTACTACCCCCTATGTTTTTAACCAGCTGCCAAGTTCAGTTAAAACAGCTCTACGACTTCTCAGACTGCTTTAGTGGTTCAGGTAAAGATAGGTAACCTTTCTCTCACCAGCCCTCAGGATTAATTAGCTCCTAAAGGACAGCCAAGGAAGAAGCCAGCTAGGCAACTGCTTGCTTTTTACTAAAACACATTAATGTATTACCAATGTTATTTTCCTCATCTTTTCATCGTGAAGCATTTAAAAAAATGTACTACTCAACTATCTAGGTTTGCAGGACATAAAGATATCCAAAGAGAAATCACTCTCTCATAATTTCATTATCCAATGGTAACACTGACCTTTTGATACTTTTCTCTATGTGCATACAGCATACACACATAAATGACTATTTTACAAAAAACCAGAATCATTCCAGTCATACTGGACCCTAGCACCTCTATTTTTAAATCATCTGTCAGATCTGTTATATCATGCATGGCTCCATCTATTCTGTATATGGAGATATCATCAGTTTTTAAAACCATAAAAACCACAAAAACCCAAAAATCTCTTTATTGCACTTTATGCCATTCTGGTTTGCAATTCTAAATGACACTGTGCTTACAAGCAGGTGTCCATACATTCTTGCACAACCTTTCCATTTATTTTCTTAGAGATAAAATGGTAGTGGTGGAGGGGTCTGAAAGGTAGTCTTTTCACCAGCAACATACTAGAAAGTTTATAATGCTGGATATTTTCATAATGTAAAACTTTGCCAATCTGGTAAATGAATTATGTTCCCTTATAGTTACCTGATTGGTAAGTGAGGTTAACTATTTTTCATATATTTATTGGCCATTTGATTTCTCCTTTTGTGAAATGCCTTTCATGTCCTTTAGAATGAGATTATAATTAAAATATTTTAAAGACAGTAACTCTGTCTACTACAGTGGTTTTCAAAGTGTGATCTGGGCACCCATGAGAGGTTTTCAAACGATTCAAGAGGTTAAACTGGTTTTCAGAATAACATTAAGACATGATTTGCCTTTTCTACTCTCATTCTCTCACGAGTGTACGGACTTTTCCAGAGGCTTCATGATAGGTGGCAAAGCCACAGGCTGAATGTAGAGGCAGGATTTATTGTTTCTTAAATGAATCAATAACTACATATTTACATTTTTTTCTCCATTCTCATTTTGAGTGTGGTAAATATTGACAGATGTAACTCACTGAAACAAAATCTCTTTCTTTGTAGTCCTCAATAATTTTTTAGAGTATAATGGAGTCCTGAGACCAAAAACTTAGACCTGCTGAGCTATTACATAGGGGGGGAGAATGGCTGGATCACCGTATGGCCTTTGTCTTGGAAGTTCATGATGGGTATTGCTTTTGGCCATATGGAGCTTTTACATTTTTATATCGAAAACTTATCAACTCCCTCCCTATATTCTGATATATAGTATCTGAGATACTGTATCTCAAGGGTATCAATAGTAATGTTAAAATCCCACTGATCTTTTGGAGAACAGATCAAACAGCATCTCCTCAGGAAATCCTTTTATTACCTTGTCAGACTAGATTAGATTTCATGGTTGTATAGTCTCACATGTCCAGTACTTCTCTGTCATCATACTTATCAAAATAGTCATAAAAAGTTACTTGTATATTTATATTTAGTAGTTTAACATTAGACACTCCAGTCCATGCGCACTGGGGCTGTTCTGCTCATCACCACAGCACAGTACAAGAGCACCTTGCCCCAGCAGAGATTCAGGGACTATCTGAATGAATGAATGTCAGAAGCACACTTGTAATAGTCAACAAATTAGCTTACATGTTTATATTCCCTTGTGTAATACCATAATGTCTTTTAATATTACTACCACCGTGGTGTTTCCTTCCTCTAGTATTTATTGAGCCACTGCTATGTTCAAGGCACATTCTAGATGCTGCAGGTATAGTAATGAACAAAAGAAATCATCTGACCCATTTACATCTCAACCAGCGGGACACAGATGAAACAACAAACCAGAGAATTGCTTATTCATTCCAACAGCAGTCGTGGCTATGAAGGAAGGAGATGCTCTTAGGGCACATAAAGTAGAACCTCATCTATCTAGGGTCAGAAACATTTCCCTAAAGACATGTTATTTCAGTTGCTATCTGAATGATGAACAGGAGCCAAGCTGGATGTGGGTGTCAGGGGTGGTACGCCACTGAAAGGGATGAATTTTATACAGAAGAAACTGCATTTGCAAGGACTCTGAACGAGGAAGAAATACGCATCTGTTGAGGGACCAGAAGCCAGAAATTATGAGACAGAACTATGCTCCTCAGGTCAGACTGTTGAGGTCAAAGCACAAAGGCTCTCATGAGTCTCGTGAAGCGCTGGCCTTTGTACTAGGGTAATCCCCTACGTGGATTTAAAAGCAGGGTCATCTGATTAGATTTGCACTGATCTTGTAGGAAAGAACATTATTACATGTTTTGTTAATTATTTAAGTCCAGAACAAAACCCGTAATACCTACACTCAAGCAGACAGTATGACTTTTGTTTCCCTAAATAAAAATCCATTTAACTCACTGGCCCTGGATAGAGTTCAAAAGAATAAAAATAAATAAGGTTATTGTAAAACACAATCAAACAGACAGCCCAAGGAAACGTCTGATCACAGGAGTAAACAATGCCATCGTTTTCAGAGTGCATGCAGTATTCCCTGGGCATCAGCAGGTGGCGTAAGGCGTCGCGTTACCACCGCGCCTCTCAGAAGCGGAGATAAGTTACTTAAATCTCTGCTGAGTCAGGGACGAATAATGTCAGCTCCCAAACATGCTATTTATATTGCTGCAGCACGTGACCCGGCTCAACTGTCTCATCCCAGGCTTGCTTCTTCCACTCACACAATACAATTCTCTCATTACTAAGTTTGTTTTACACTTGACAAAATTTAATAGGATTTATAACATCAAAAGTTTTCTTTTTAAAAGTGTTTTTATAGTCTCCCTACCCCTTCCATCAACAGATACAGTACTCTGCAAATCCCGAGGCAAACAGTATTTTTATCTCTCATTGGACAGATGCCAAGGCTTCCTAACACAAAGCGTGTAGTACAGAGAAATGTCTGGTAACCATCTTTTGTCTCAGAAGATTCTTTCCAAATACTTAGATATATGATAAGGCAACAAGCTTAGAGGATTGCTTTTTTGTTTACATATGAAAGGGAGGACTTATTAGATGTCCAAAAAAATTTAACATAAACAACAAACAAAATGCTAAGTTATGCTTAGAAGTTAGGACTGTCCTCAAGTTCAATGGTTCTCTTCTTCAGTGAAGCTGGTCACGGTCTTTCAAAGCGAGAGGCCATGACTCGGTACAAAGCTTACTTACCTCCACTCTGCCTTGTTGTGCAGGAATGAGTTACACTGGTCGGGAAGGTTAGTGTCGTTTGACATGGACTCCAGAATTGAAATGATTTGCTTAAAAGATGGCCGTTTCTGAGGAAGAGAAAATAATCACTTGTTGGGACTTAGGAAAGCAAGTCTTGAAGAGAAAATCCACAAGCACAGCAATAAGCTCGACGCACCACAACAAAATAAAACGGCATGCAACGTCCTGAGTTATTTTACGACTGTCAGACTGCTCAGGTTGAAGGGGACCATATTCCTTATTTTCAATACATTATTTGTAAGAACAGAGTCAGATGTCATTTTTCTATCATGTGGCCTAAGGTTGGAATAATTACAGTTTTTCTCCAGGTAAGGAAAGTACGAATTCTCTCTCGGGTCTGATTAAGGACTCCTAAAAGGGAAAAGGCAAGTCCTTTAAAAGCCTATGGGATATAGGCAAGTTTAGGAAAAGTTAACCGTAGAATCTGGGTGGTAGGTATACCGGTGTTCACTGTTAAGATTCTTTCACCTTTTCTGTAGGTTTCAAATTCTTATAATAAAATGTTGGGGAAAACCCTAGTTAATCCATGAGAACTAATACAATTTCCTCAACCACTTGCTCAGAGAAAAATTCCCCAATTTTCAAGCCATCTTAACTTTCATTGTTCTCAATGTTTATTCCACATCATAACCCGTTTGGAGCTGGGAAACTCGAAGGTGCTGTTTACTAGAAATTGAAAAAGCAGCGGTTAGGTGCATTTCTTCAGCTAGTGGTAACTGTACTTGTCTGTTTCTTTAGACTCTAGCCAAGGCTGAGACAAAAGGTTAAAACAAAAATGGAAGAAAGATAATAAAAGGATGATGCACATTCTCTCTTCATCATGCCTCATAATTATACCATTTCTGAGCAAATTACAGTTGCAGCAATTAAAACATGCATTTTAATTTAGGAGCACAAAACAAGAAGGAACAATGTTGAGGTGGCTTGCTCTCAGGACTTGAGTACTTCCTACATTAAGAGAGACGATTTTTCCATTTCTCAGGAATATAAATATAAAACTGGGATATTTATTCCGAGTTCTGCCTTTATTGCACTCTTAAGGGAATGTGTGCCTGTGTGTGTTTTACGTAGAGGGCGTAAGTATCTGATCCACATTAAAGCCTTCTAATAAGAAAAGTAAATGCCTCAAGTAGGAAATTTGAAAAATATTTTGTCTTCTTTTAACTTTATTCCCATTTAATTCCTCCTACTGTGTGTCACTGTGTGAAAGGAAAAATGTTTGAGCTGTTTGCACAGGAATTAATTATACAATAAACATAGAATTTTCATTTGGCATGGAAAAGCAACAGGAGAGGCTAATGAATTTTTAAAGAATATTTTCTCTACATTTAATCATTCTTGAAATAAAGTAAAACTCTTGAAATTAGGTGACAAGTATCCCTAGAAAAACCTTAATTTTATAGGTAGAATATACTCTCAGATGGAAATTATCAAAGTGAACATTTTAAAAACAACAACAATGTCGAATTTTGTGGTAATGATATTTTGTGAATACACAGGTTGCAGAATACAATATTTGGTCCAGGAGGTTCCTTTTAGTATTATATAGGTTTTGTTCACATTAAAAAAATTATAACTAGGGCCATCTATTAAGCATCTATATACATTATTTGTTATCTTCTTTTTATAGGTAAGAAAAAGCCATCTCAGAAAAGTATGGATTGGCCAGTATCACACAGGAAGCAAGTTTCTGAATCAGGGGCAAGGCTCTGAAACCCTTCAATGTGTTTTATCACATGAGGGTAAGATGTTACTTCCTATCAAACTCAGGGCTTCTTTTTCCTATTTAGAAATGCCATTTTAGAACTGGAAACAGTACCCACCTTTACTTCCTTCTTCTCTTTGATAAAACACTTTGAGCACCTGCTGTAAGCCACTGGCATGACCTGACATTTACCCAACACCAGCTTTCTTGTATTCCCTTCCCCCTCCTCGCTGCAAAAGAACATTTTTCTACAGGTGAGCTGAGTATTTTCATCTATGTCTTTAAAGCATAAGGGCCAGGGGGAAAAAAGTGTTTAGCCAATGGTAGCTCTCTCTGTACGCACAGGAGTGGCATCCACGAGTGCCTGAACTGCTCCATACTGAACAGCCAGAGAACTAAAATGTGCCTTGGTCCGGCTACTCTGGCCAACACACTGGGCCTCTACTTACTACGCGTGTGTGAGGTGCTAAAAGCAGCTTTGTTCCCTCAAAGAGACTGAAATCTGTGTAGGAAGAGAGATTTAAAAAACACAACCACACAGGGTAAGGCAGTAGCCCAGACTGTGGTTTAGGAAAAGGAGGACTCAGTATGGGCTGGAGGAAACAGAACAGCCAGGGAAGGCGGGCCGCAAAGTCCTCAGGGAGGAAAGTGAAGAAGACGGCACGCCCAGGGAAGGAGGGTGTGTAGGGCCTGACTGGAGATCAGCCACAGAGAGCGCTGGCAGTGTGGGCTGTGTACTTAAATACAGGGGGGCTGTACTAATTGTATCAGAATAAAATGCCTTCAATTTAGGAAGTAAAGATCAATCTTAAACTTTCTTTATACTTCACCTGGCTAGAACACAAGATGCCGCTCGTCCTAAAGAAGGATAAACTTGCTGCATGTTAAAGACATGCCAGCTTCATAGCATCAACACCAGGCCTAATGTCCTTCCTGTGTTAGGTGTTTACACTATTATTTAATTAATGCACCATAAATGTATATCCTCTTAGAATTTTAATGAAGTACAAAGTTTCCGATTAAGAGATTCAAAACCTGCTTTGCATACTGAAATATAACTGCAATTATAGAGAATCTAGTTGCAATAATCTAATTCACTGTAAATAATTTCAGGTGAAATTTTTATTTAAGTAGCAGAAAAATACTGCCAAAATGACTATATATGTCACAATGGACACAGAACTGGTAGAAAGAGTATGGAGAAGGTAGTACCATAGCATTTTAAAAATACAAATGTTCTAGAGCAAGCCTGCAAACAGCTGAGTGTATTTTCTGCTGGATTAGCTACAAAGGGCAGGCATTCCTCTTAATGCTTAAAAACCCCATATTCTGCAAATCACACACTAAAATAATAGGACTTAGGGGCGCCTGGGTGGATCAGTGAGTTAAGTGGCTGCCTTCCGCTCGGGTCATGATCCTGGGGTCCTGGGATCGAGCCCCGCCCAGCTCCCTGCTTGTTGGAGAGCCTGCTTCTCCCTCTCCCTCTGCCTGCCACTCTGCCTGCTTATGCTATCTATCCTGTCAAATAAAATCTTAAAAAAAAAAAAAAACTTTAAAAGAATAAAATAATAGGACCTAGGGGTGCCTGGGTGGCTCAGTCGTTAAGCATCTGCCTTCGGCTCAGGTCATGGTCCCCGGGTCCTGGGATCAAGCCCCACATCCGGCTCCCTGCTCGGTGGGAGGCCTGCTTCTCCTTCTCCCACTCCCCCTGCTTGTGTTCCTGCTCTCGCTGTCTCTCTCTCAAATAAATAAATAAAATCTTTAAAAAATAAATAAAATAATAGGACCTAAACAGAGGCAGGGCAGACCATGCCATAACTATGCAACTTTGTCATGGAACACTAATAAAAACAGTAATACTAAATAAAAACACTAACAATTTAAAAATGTTAAATTTTTTTTTATTTTAAAAGATTTTATTTGAGAGAGAGAGAGAGAGAGAGAGAGAGCACGAGAGGGAAGAGGGTCAGAGGGAGAAGCAGACTCCCCGCTGAGCAGGGAGCCCGATGTGGGACTCAATCCCGGGACTCCAGGATCATGACCTGAGCCGAAGGCAGTCGCTCAACCAACTGAGCCACCCAGGCGCCCAAAAATGTTAAATTCTTTAATAAAAAACAATACTAAGTAAATATAAGACTCCCCTTTTTAAAAAAAAAAAAAAGGGTGAAGGTAGTTTGATGAACAGGAGTGAAAGCAAAGATTAAGGCTGCTGGTTTTCAGGTCAAAGGTGAAATGTGCAAATCTGGGAAGCCCCCACAACAAACTCCTCCGAGACAAGACATAGGCTGGGCCAGCCCAGCCAGCAGGGAGCACACGGGGCCCAGGCCTCACAGATCCGCGTGCCCGGTTGCTCTATCGGCCGCACTACTGTACAAACTACTGTACTTGGCATTGAGCTGTTCTCACGTGCGGGGGGGGGGGGGGCGGAACCACGTGCTACGTCACGCATGTGATTCGGCGCGGTGAGTACTCAAACTCACCGGTTGTCGTGCATCCTCCCCACTAGAGAAAGATGTAGTTCCATGAAAAAGTGGACAAATTTGAACTATAAAATTATAGTTCCTTTCTTGGGTCTGTCTCTTTCAGTGTTTAATCTGTGAGGGTCTTTTTTTACTTTCTAACTTTTTATTATGAAAATTTTCAAACATAAACAAATGTAGAAAGAACAGTGTAATTAACCTCCATATAGGTGAGTGTTTCAGGCGGTAAACGGGGCACTGAGGGGTAATCCGGCGTAACCCACGACTGGGTGCCAGCGGTGCGCTCCCCTGCCCACCCCCCCCCCCACCGTAGCCATGCCTCGCAAAATCGAGGAAATCAAGGACTTTGTGCTCACGGCCAGGCGAAAGGACACCAAATCCGTCAAGATCAAGAAAAATAAGGATAATGTGAAGTTTAAAGCTCAGGGCAGCAGATACCTTTACACCTTGGTCATCACGGACAAGGAGAAGGCAGAGAAACTGAAGCAGTCCCTGCCCCCAGGTTGGCAGTGAAGGAGCTGAAGTGAACCCAGCCCACTGATTTGAACTGAAAGTTTTAAAAATTCTTAGGAAAAAAAAAATGAACCTCCATATACTTATCACTTGGCTTCAAAAATTATCGTGGCCAATCTTGTTTAATCTACACCACCATCTATTTCCTTTCATTTTATTTTGAAGTAAATCCAAGATTCGCCTATCATTTTATTCATAAATAATTCCGTATAAATGTGTCTTTTAAAATGATCTTTGCAGGGAAAGGCAATGGGCCTTCATGCTCAAATGTGCTAACCACAGGAAAGTCTACATTTTGGAATGTCTCCAACTCTGTAGTGATGGCTTCAAAACATCATGAATCCGGACAAGGAGTATCTATCAAGTTTCTCTAGAAGTGCTACTCTGGGGGCGCCTGGGTGGCTCAGTCGTTAAGCCTCTGCCTTCGGCTCAGGTCATGATCCCAGGGTCCTAGGATCGAGCCCCTCACTGGGCTCCCTGCTCTGCGGGCAGCCTGCTTCTCCCTCTCCCACTCCCCCTGCTTGTGTTCTCTCTCTCGCTGTGTCTCTGTCAAATAAATAAATAAAATCTAAAAAAGAAAAATAAAACAGAAGTGCTACTCTGGCCTGGTCTTTGGTTCAGACGGCTTGGGCTCATTCTCCAGTCTCACCATGTACTAGCCGTGGCCTTGAGCATTACTTAACTTCTGTATGCCTTGATTCTTCATCTGGAAAATGGGTGGAATAACATAACTTATGTCATAGAGCTATTCTGAGGAATAAATGAGCTAATGTACATAAATTTAGTGCTTGGAGTAGTGCCTGGCACAGAATAAGCACTGTATGCTGGCCATTTTTAGAACACAAAGGTGCAACAGTTCTTATTAAAGATTAAAAACAAAGGAATGCAATTCTTTCCGTTGAATCAGGAGTGCCAGAGGGGCTGTAAGAAGGAGCCAGTAATGAATTTCTAAGGATCAAGATAAGCAGATAGCAACAGAAAGCCTTAACAGTCCATCTGGGGCTCACAGGAACAGCAATCCAGCTTTACTTTGTAATGACTCTCATTACCCCAAATTTTAAAAACTCAAAGCCAAACAAACAAGTGAAATTTCAGAATTCTGAAAGATGACCAAAAAAAAACAACTGACTTACATACCTTGGCATCAGCTTCCCAACACTGACGTAACAGCTCAGCAAAACTTCTGGGGCAGCTGCTTGGAATGGTTAATCTCTACCACAGAGAAGGAAAGACAACACAAGGATTTACTCATGAAGGTAAGTAGATACTCACTGAAAGTTCATAAAAGAGTTACATTTAGAGCACAAACAAGTCATTAAATTTTAAGCTTCCATTGATTGATAGATGGCAGATGAGAATTTATGTTTAGGTACATCATATCTCTAAAGAAACTTTTAATACCGTTCTTCCAAAAAGGCATCCCAGTGGATGGAGAAGTCCGGTTCCGCACAACAAATACAATGAAACATAGACTCAAGTCTAAAGGAAACTACAGGAGGAGAAGGGCAAGGCCTAAAACCACAAATCTTTGCACAGGCGGCTATGAAATAGGCACGCAGCCCAGGCAGCTAGGAAAGCAGCTCATCTGTGGCGGTAGGCGTGACACCTCTGGAAACGTCTTTAGCACACACCGTCCCAGAGATCATTTGAAAGAAGTGTGCTTCTTCTCATTGGCCAATAAGAGATTCTGGACATATGACTCATTATGGCTAAAGCACAAGGGCTGGATACAACAAAGATTACACTGTGAGCATCTGTCCTGTGCCAACATTTTACAGAAGTGCTTCTCTAGAACTTGCCATGCCCCTGGAGGCTCTTTAGATATCTATGGAGGCATTTTTGTTTTAAAAACTGGAGAGTTGCACCTGGAGTGGGTCAAGAATGCTGGACATCCTTCACTATGTTGTAAATCCCTAAGTACTCCCTTGCACTCCACCAAACTTCAGATGCCCCATGTGCAATCAAACAATGAGGTTTAATCATTTTTCTGGCTCTAGACTCTCTTTGATTTACAATAAGCACAAAGCATATTTTGAGCAGATTTAAAATGCAACGAACTAAGAATGCAACTACCAAATAAAATAAATCAAGGGCAGATTGATCTTTGCATTATTTATAACCTTACCAAGATTTTTGGAAAATGTCACCTACAACAGCATTGCTTATGCTGCTGGAATCGTTGATACAATTCAACTCCATTCTGCATTTGTAGCTGTTGAATCCTATTTATCCATAGGTATAAGCTCTGAAACTATTCCATTTTCTCCTCTCCTGCAGTCATGCCTGCGCATTTATACACCGTAATACGTATTTATTTCTTCTGTATACTACGATGAGAGCATTATGTTGACTTTAAAAGTACAATGTGTGTGGGTAGGTTGTACTACATCTGCATGTCATTTCCAGCAAGTAGAGGGAGCATGAAAAGAGTTATCAAGAGAAGCCTGGGTGTGACAGCTGAGAACCACCGCACTAAGAAGTACTAAGATGATTTATTATGCAGTATTGTTTACCAAAGAAGTTTTGCAAATAAAAAACTGAAACTGAACTTAGTTGGATTTGGGGGAGGCTATGCATAACACTAGAAAAAGAGTTGCCCTGGCAAAAAAACAGATGGGGATCTGTATTTAGAATTACAATAACCTTAAAATCAAAATAAACTAAAATATATAAAACCTGAAAGCTTTTAACAAAACAGCCCTTGCCAAATTAAAGGCTATGCTAAACATTTTTTTAACTGATTACATAGAATAGAGGAGATCTGGTAAACTGTACTCTTATTTTACTCTAATGTGAACTGGAAACCTTTTGATGAAGATCAAAAGGAAAATCAGGTGTTTATTTTTTAAAAATATTTGGCAACTAAGAGAAACAAAGTGATTGCAATTACTCAGCTAAATGTACCCCATGGCAAAGTAATTTCTCATAAAAGGGAACATTTTCAATGTAACTTTTTCACATTTTTCTAAGAACTGAAATGTGACCTGGATGAATATGGATGGATGTTAATCTTTTCTATCATCTTTTCTTACTGAGAAACTTTTTAGCTACCTCATCTGAGACATTATGAAAGAAGACGTAATTATTTTAGATCATCTCATATGGTCAAATATCAGTTAAATCTAGACGCAGACACTAATGTAAGGGTTTATTAAAAAGTACTTTAAAAGAAAATCCGAAGTATTTAAGTTCTGTTTACAGAACTGTGGGCATTCCTAATGCATTAAAACATCCCGAAATAACCAGATATTAGCAACAGATTTAGCCGCACTACTTCAAACTTAAATATTTTAAAAGTTCCAAATTTAAAATGAAAATATTTCCCAACCACTAAATTAGGCATGACATTTTTTAAAGAGCATATTCTTTTTCTGCACCATTTTCTTTAAGATGCAAAAAATTACTTTTTGTCAATTATTTTTTATCTTTTTTCCAAAATGTAGTCAACGATGCATTGAGGATTTCTGTTAATAGTTTGGGGCGCCTATTAAGAATACTTAAGTTAGGTGACTGAAAATGCCCAGGTCATAATCTCAGGGCCAAAAGAGGGAGCCTGCTTAGGATTCTCTCTCTCCTTCTGCCCCTCCCCCCAACTCACGTATATGTGTGCCTGTGCACTCTCTCTCAAGGAAAAAAATTGTTTTGCTACTTAGAACAAAACATATTTTATGAGAATCTAAGTACTTGTAACGATAGAAATTATACTGTCAGAATATTCTGAATGACCACTAATTCAGTTTTATAGAAATTACAAAGACAAACATACATGTCTATAAAAATTACAAAATTTATTAGTAATACCCTCCTAATTTCATGACTTCTGTAAGGGTTCAGTCTTTAACAGTGCTTTATGTATCTAGTTTTAATAGGATTTAATATTAGGAAAAATTATTGTTTGAAGGCCTTATTTCATTATTAAGCATTTAGAAGCAAACACCTTCAGATATTTTTAGAACGTATTGATCTTCCTATAGATCCAAAAGCAATTTAAATGGTGAAACTGAATAAGGTCTAGAGTCTAGTTAAGAGTAATGTATCAATGTCAACTTTCTGGTTTGGGTGTTGGCCTATACCTGTATCTCACCAGTGGGGGAAGCTGGATGAAGGATACACAGAATCCTTTCTAATATTGCTGCAAATTCCTGTTAGTCTATAATTATTTCAAAATAAAAAGTTAAAAAGAAAAGGTAACTCTAATATTTGGATATAGGTGCATTCTAGGGTGACTGGCTTACATTTAAAATGTCTCCCTAGGTTTAAACACATCATTCTTTATTTAAATGAGGCCTGTTAAAAAAAAAAATACAGCTTGCTCTTTTCAACTCAAGAACCCAAGGTATTCCAAAGTAAAAATAAATGAAATAATTGGAAGTTGGAAGAATTTTGTAAATTATTTTTAAGTCAAAGTCTCAATTTTATTATGAAATGAAATAAATCCTTGGCCATTTTTTCCAAGTTTTTATTTAAATTCCAGTTAGTTAATATACAACGTAATATTAGTTTCAAGTGTACAATGTAGTGATTCAACACTTCCATATACCACCCCGTGCTCATCAGAACAAGGGCCCTCCTTACTACTCATCATCCCTTTAGCTCATCCCCCACCCACCTCCCCTCTAGCAACCCCTTCAGTTTGTTCTATATAGTTTAATTCTTTTAATGTTATGTCAACAGAATTTGTTCTGGTAATATGTGTCTACATTTATGAGATGAAATGAAGACTCCTTTGTGAATAATGACAATGGAAAGTACAGTTAAACTTAATTTCCATATTTTTGACAAATATTGTGCAGAGTGAGAGGAGACAGGTAAGTAGCCTTCAATACCCAATTTTCCTTAAGTTCAGTAGAAAGTTGAGAAAACTTGTTTCACCATGTGGGGTTCCTTGAACTTGCTATTCTGCATACAGAAGGGGAGGTATCTGAGTGGTCTCCATCAGTTATTAGCCGACTATCAATCAGGTCACACCATGGATAAAACAGTATGTTCTACTCTAGGGAATCCCTGAGGAACCGGGGGGGCGGGGGGGCTGACAGCCTCGTCTGGTACATGTTCAGGAAGTTCTCAAGGTTATTTATGGGTGATTCCAGCCCTCAAGCCAGCTATCCAAAGGCAGCTTCTAAATTCATTTTTCTTGTCTGCTTTAATCATCCTTGATGGAGACTCATGTTTTGAAAGTGCTTTAGATGCACACCTCTTCTGCCATCCTTTAGATGAAATATTATTTTAAAATATTGTTTTTTCTTATACGTATTTGGAGGGTCCAGTCAGCTTTTAAAACACTTTCTTCTAATTTTTCTTGGAACAATGTAGAGGGAAAAAAGTTACATTGAGTGTTCCACTCCAAAGTCAACATTAGGTCAATCATTTCCTTCACTCTCATTTGTAAACCCAGAAGCAAACATCTAATCACCTCACTGGCAAGAGGAATAG